GGCTAATTTTTGTATATTTAGTAGAGACGGGGTTTTGCCATGTTGGCCAGGCTGATCTTAAACTCCTGACCTCAGGCGATCTGCCCACTTCAGCCTCCCAAAGTGCTGGGATGACAGGTGTGAGCCACCATGCCCGGCCCAACTTCCATCACTTTCAACTCCCGTTATCTGTTATCTTCTTTTCAAACATCTCTTCCTTGCTTGTTACCAGATGGTGTCAACTATCTCACATTCCTCAGTAATTTACTTTGACTGTTTGGTACCCAATTTAAACGTGTGTGTGTGTGTGTGTGTGTGTGTGTGTGTGTGTGTGTTTTGGGACAGGGTCTCCCTCTTTCCACGTTGGATTGCAGTGGTTTGATTGTAGCTCAGTGCCCTGGAACTCCTGGGCTCAAGAGTGATCCTCCCACCTTAGCCTACCAAGTTGCTGGGATTATAGATACAAGCCACTGCACCCAGCTCGTATTTTAAAGGAAATAAATAGCACTGAAAGAAAGTAATGTCAAAAAAAAAAAAGAAGTTGCTTATTTACAGAAAGCGATTTACTCACCAAATAGGGCTTGAAAGATTAAACCAAGTTGTTTTAAAACAAAAATATAAAATAAATAAAAGACCCAGTGGGGTTATGTAAGCCCATCATTTTGTGGTGCTATTTTTGTCCATTTAATATTAAATTTGAATAACATTTAGTAAATGTTTTTAGTTAGTAATTCTTAGTGACTGCAATTATGTTCATTATTTTAGTCAACTTAATACATTTTGTAATAACTCTTCCAAGTGTATTCTTTGACTAATGCAATTGACTGGCACACGTTGAAGACATCAGAGGTTACACAAAGAGACCAGAGTTAAATGATGAAAAACTCAAAAGTACATTTGTGTCTGACCCTGAAATGTCTTGGTACTACAAGCATTTGATGTTTTGGAAATTTTAAAAATTAACTTTAACAAAATAGTTTGAGCCACATTGGGAGTGCCAGTTCTCTGAGAGGGCACCATCAGCTCTTCCTTGGCCTGCCATTTATCTAGGCATGGACCTCAAAGATCTTTTCTGCGCCAGTGTATCTAAAGAGCAAGATCAACATCCTTCAGTAGCAGCAGCTCATTAAAGCAGAGAGTTTCCTAAGGGGGAATAAGTCAGAATCTGAGGGCTGTGAGGGGAAATAGTTTGAACAGAACTGAAGAAGCAATGCTGCATCTTAGATACTAAGAAAGAGAGCAGAGTCTTTTTCTTCTCCTTTTTGTGTAAGTAACTTCAAAATCTAAATATACCGCTAATACAGAGAAATATGCTGATCATAAGCAGACACCTCAGTGAATTTTCACAAAACGACCACATCTGTGTAACCAGCACCCAAATCAAGAGCCAGCATAGAGCACCTGGAAGCCACCCTCATGCCCCTCAGCCTCTGCCATGACTCCTTCCACCAGGGCTAGCTCTACCTGTGGTTGAACTGTATGTAATCAAGTAGTATATAGACTTGGGTCTGGCTTTTTTTTCTGAACATTGGCTTTTGGCTGGGTAATGTGGCTCATGCCTATAATCCGAGCACTTAGGAGACCAAGACAGGAGGATCACTTGAGGCCAAGTGTTTGGGACCAGCCTGGACAACATAGTGAGACCCTGTCTCTACAAAAAATTTAAAAATTAGCCAGACATGGTGGCACACACCTGCAGTCCCAGCTACTCGAGAGACTGAAGTGAGACCCTGTCCCAAAAAAACAAAAATAACAAAACTGATCTGGTTTTTGGGGGAGGTGGGGTCTCACTCCATCACCCAGTTGGAGTGCAGTGGTGCAATCTTGGCTCACTGCAACCTCTGCCTCTCAGGCTCAAGCAGTCCTCCCACTTCAGCCCCCGATTAGCTAGGAACACAGGTGTGCGCCACCATGCGTGGCTAATTTTTTTTATTTTATTTTTGTAGAGACAGGGTTTTGCTATGTCGCCCAGTCTGGTCTTGAACTTCTGAGCTCAGGCAATCTACCCACCTTGGCCTTCCAAAGTGCTGGGATTACGGCGTGAGCCACTGCACCCAGCAAACATCAGCATTTGAATCCTGTTTCAGTGTCCTGGTTCAGACACTGATTAAGACTGATTATAAGAAAATAGACAAGGTGAGCCTGCTTGTCTATTTCAGTGCTATACCAGAATGCAGATGGTGCTTGAGCAGGGACATTGGTTAAATGCTTGACTTTTACAGAGCCTCTTAGTTACAAGCAGAATTAGACCACATAGAGTATGAAATGTCAACGAAGCTAGTTATTAAGGGATTATTGACCGCCGTGTACTTCAAGGCAAGGTAAGCCTTCCCATAGAGAATTGAATAGATTATACACACGAAACATTTATTTTCTGCAAGTACTGAGCCTAGGTACTACAGAAATGAGATGGGTAAAACATACCTATCTAACCTGGGCAAACATCTCATCTATGAGTTGTATCCATTGGGCTACTAATTCCACAAATCTGACTCATTTTAATGATGAGTTTTAGATGATTTTGTGGTTTGAAACACAGATCACTCTGGAATTGCAGTCCTCTCTGGTCTAGGTGCTGTATCTGATGCAACAGCTATCTCTTAATGGAGTGTGGTGTTTATAGAACATTCCGTACATGGTAAAAGGAATTTGAGGAGATTTTAAAAAAAGAACATTCTGTGTAAACTGTAAGTGGAAATGTTTGTATTTCCCTTGGCAAGCAAATTGGACTGGGTATATTCTTTGTTTGTGATCTAATCCAGCAAGGCCAATTACCGGAATAGAGCTTTAGGGCATAGCATGACTAATCAGCTTAATTAAGGCCTGCTTTTTTAAACACCAGGCTTCCAGGGGTGGCCACTATGGACTCCTGCAAAAGAGTCTTTAATAGATTTCCAGACTACCCAAGGGTGCATTTTACTTTTCTTGTTTCTTTTTTTTCAAGATAGTTTGATAAAACACTAAAGTGTAGTGATAAGACTCTTTCCCAGTGAATCCCTCCTTAATTTATAGCCTGAGAACCTACATTTTTTGTCCTTGCTTTTATCTGTTTTAGTTGCTCTTACTATCCTTAGTGACATCTCTGGTTAAATTTCCATAAATATTCATTCAATGTAATGTAAAAATTACATTACATTGAATGTAAAAATTCAATGCGTGTAATGTAAAAATTTAGTTCCAATGCAGAATTCCAGGATACTCAAAGGAACTTGTCACACACGTTCTCTGGCATCAGTGGCATTTGACAAATCTTTAGCATATGAACTTTGTCACAAACGACAGTATATATTGTGTCACTGCAATTGTCCCAAAGTGTTCATGGTAGCACAAGAATAACAGATAAAAATGAAGTGTTTTTGAGCCGATGACTTGCTGTGATTCTATGGGTAAGCTCCTTCTCTCTGAGTCTCAGATTCTTGAGCTGGAAAAGGACAGTGACAATGATGCCTGCCTTGTAGGGTTGGTGTGAGACTAACTGAGGTCACGTGTGTGAAAGGATTTAGCACAGTGCCTGCCAGAGAATGGGCATTCAGCAAATAGCAGCTATTAGTAATACTTTTAGCCATCACTTTTGTTTCCTTTTTCAGGATGAAATTGATTCTGCAGTAAAGATGTTGCTGTCATTAAAAATGAGCTACAAAGCTGCCATGGGGGAGGATTACAAGGCTGACTGTCCTCCAGAGAACCCAGCACCTAGCAATAATCATGACCTAGACGCCACAGAAGCTGAAGAGGATTTTGTGGACCCATGGACAGTACAGACGAGCAGTGCAAAAGGCATAGACTATGATAAGCTCATTGGTACGTCCTCTTTTTTCCTCCCAGAAAAAGCCTCATCTTTTAGAAGTGATCCCATTGAGTTGAGTCCATTAATGTTTTTAAATTTTGAGTTAATCATAAATTCAGTGGAGCTTCAATACCAAGGAAAAAGTGGATCCTAAAATCTTTTGGTTGTACAACATTCCCAAAGGACTATTTTAAAATAAAATAACAATATAAAACAAATTTCAAAATAGTGATCTATAGTAGACAGCTTAGTAGAAGCTTTTCCCTTTTTTTGAGCACTTCAGAACTTGGAAAAGCTCTATTGAAATGGTCATTTAAGGCCAGGCGTGGTGGCTCACACCTGTAATCTCAGCACTTTGGGAGGCCAAGGCAGGCAGATCACGAGGTCAAGAGATCGAGACTATCCTGGCCAACATGGTGAAACCCTGTCTCTACTAAAAGATACAAAAATTAGCCGGACGTGGTGGCACGCGCTTGTAGTCCCAGCTACTCAGGAGGTTGAGGCAGGAGAATTGCTTGAATCCAGGAGGCGGAGATTGCAGTGAGCCAAGATTGCTCCACTGCACTCCAGCCTGGTGACAGAGCAAGACTGTGTCTCAAAAAAGAAAAAAAAAAAGAAAAGAAATGGTTGTTTAAAACATTTAGTAGCTATAAGTCAATTATAGATTACTTAGATTTCACCTCCAGTAATGGATATTGGAGTGGATACTGGCTATGGACCTAGAAGGCTGGAAGTCAGCTTAAGAGTGATGACTTTGCCATTCCATTGAAGTCTTTACTCTGAGATCATTGCTGATTGTCACAGAAGAAACAGAACTAAAATGTTTCATCCAAGTCAAAGCCATTTTCCATGATTTGAGTATAGACTATCGATGACGGAAAATTCACTTGACAACAGACATTAATTCAGTTCAACAAATAAACAATGTGAGAAATCATGATTGTCAATGAATATAAATTTTACCTCGAGTGAATATATATATATAAATATGTGTGTATATTTGTATTTTGTTGTCAAAAGTTGCTAGCTGGACCACATTCTGGTTGTTTCCCATCAGAATAACCGGTCTCAGACAAAACAGCATTTTGTGTTGTAATTTACTTCCTGTTTTGTTAGTCGTGCTGATCTCAGCTGTTATTTTAATACAAAGGCCTTTTACTTTATGTTGGGGGTAAAGACATTTAGTAGAAGGCCTAAAGAGGTTTGCATTCATTAAGACTGTGCACGGATCACTCCCTTTTCACCTTCATTTCAATAATATCTGATCACTAAACGTCCTGCCACATAAGAAAGTCATCTCGTCTTTTTTCCAATTTTTTCCAGTTCGGTTCGGAAGCAGTAAAATTGACAAAGAGCTAATAAACCGAATAGAGAGAGCCACCGGCCAAAGACCACACCACTTCTTGCGCAGAGGCATCTTCTTCTCACACAGGTCAGGGGCCCTTCACCACAGATCTTCTCACCTGTCCTCTTTTTTAGTTCAAAAAATCATAAGACAGCTCTCTTAATAAGCTACCTGGCACTGTGGGAAAAGTGATGGCCAGCTGTCAGAAAGCTGGGATCCACCCTCTGTCCTGTCAGTACCCACTTTGGGATCATGCTTGTCCATTCACCCGCAGGCCCTTAGTTTTTTCATTTGTAGACTACCCACCTCACAAGATGGGAATCAATAGATTGCAGATGAGACTTGCCAGATGACATGCTGTAAATAAATTATAAAATGTCACGAAAACAAAAGAGATTAATATGTCCAAGTTCAACATTTCCCACACGACAAACAGTAGGCTTCCTAAAATTCCTAACCCTCTTCCTCCTATTGTATTGACTTGCTCATAAATCATACCAAAAGACAAGCCAATAGAGAATGCGTGGAACAGAGCATCTGTACCTCAAGCCATAAATTCCATGCAGATAACATTCAAGATATGGGCAGGTTCCAAAGGGTTTCTGCCTCTCCCACCCTACAGGTTATCTGGGTTGAGGCAGGACCATTTTTGAAGCTGTGTCCATGGAATTTATGATCTGAGATAGGGTCGTTCTGTTCTACTGGCACTTCGTGATTATAGGAGAATAGCTCCCAGGGCAGAGCCCAGCAGTCTGCTCAAACACTTTGAATTCTACCTGCAAAGAACTCCAGGCCTTGCTCAACCCACTTTCTGGGCAGATTGTAATCAAAAAGTTTTCCTTAATTAACATATTATAAAACTCACTTTTGTAAGTATACAATTAAGTGGGTTTTAGTATATTCACAAGGGTGTGAGACCATCATGACTATCTAATTCCAAAACATTTCATCACCCCAAAAAGAAACCTCTAACCATTAACCCATTTATGCCAGAGGTGGCAAAATTTTTTTGTGAAAAATCAGACCTTGGCGATCATCTTGAGCAGTAGGATATAAATAACTCCTACAAGCTTAGCGTTCCAATAATGGAACACTAGGCATAAATGGGTTAAGCAGTCATCCCCCATTTCTCCCTCCCAACTGGCAACCATTAATCTGTTTTCTATATATATAGATTTAAGCATTTCATATAAAGGATTGTATAACGTGGCCTTTTGTGTCTGGCTTTTACTTTGCATAACATTTTTAAGGTTCCTCCACGTTGTAGCATATATCAGAACTGGATTCCTTTTTATTGCCAAATAATATTTCATTGAATAGATATAACTCACATTTTGTTTATTCATTGGTTAGTTGATGGACATTTGAGTTATTTTCACTTTTTGGTTATCAATAATGCTGCTCTGACCATTTGTATACAAGTTTTTGGGTGGATGTATGTTTTCAATTCTCTTGAGCATATACAGCTAGTGCTCGACTTACGACCACGACTGGTTCCGACAGACTGGTTGTAACATGATTTGGTCATAAGTTGAGTAGGCTATACGTACAGTACTGTGAAATGATGTTACAAAAATCTTTAGGTCATATTTTATCATAATTTTCTTTCATTATTGTTATATATCATAATTTTCTTTGTTCATTTTATGCCATTTGTATCATCTCTACACCATTTTGTTTCTTATTTTTACATTCGTCAGGTTTAAGTAAAACACTGTATTACCAGTACAACTGGTTTAATATTTGTAAAACATACAAAATTACGAAATACAGGTGCATACAAAAATACAAAATACAGGTGTAAAAAATACCATAGGAAACATTTTCCCAATTGCAAAACATATCAAAATATATAAACATGTACGAAACATTTTATTGGCCGCTGGTGCTTGGCTGCGGATCGTTGATGTCGTCATCTGAGGCAGCAGTTGGGGTTACCGGAGCTGGTTTTTTCATAAACATGGTGAGCTTTGTCTGAATCGTATGTTTCTTTTTTTCTTCATAAATTTCACGATACGGACGAAACACATCGTGCGCCATCCGTTCAATCCTTGCAAATCGTTCGATGTTTGGGTCCATTGCTTCGAAATGTATAAGAAGTTTATTGGGAGGGGTTTGATGAAAAATATCCAAGACACAAAACACAAATTGCTGTACCGAGTCTGGGATAACAGTTGAAATGGTGCACGCGGAGATGGTAGTGCTGCCGGAAGCTGGTCCACACTGTCATACGCCCAGCTGGGCAACGTTTACACTGCCAGACGCAGAGCAGTCATGGCTAGCGATTGTGGTCGTAAAGTCGAATGGTCGTAAGTTGCATAGGTTGTAAGTCAGTCAATACCTGTACCTGGAAATAGAATTAATGGCTTATATAGTAATTCCACGTTTAACTCTTTGAGGAACTGACAGACTTTTCTGCAGCAACTGTATCATTTTACTTTCCCACCAGCAACATAGGAAGCTCCCAGTTTCTCCACAGCCTCACCTACACTTGTTATTTTCCATGGTGTTGTGTTTTATAGCCATCCTAATGTGTGTGAAGTAGTATCTCATTGTGGTTTTTATTTGTATTTCCCTAATGACTAGTGATGTTGAGAATCTTTTCAAAGATATTAACAATTTTTATATCTTGTTTGGAGAAATGTCTATTCAGATCCTTTGCCTACTTTTTAATTGGGTTGTCTTTTTATTGTTGAGTTATAATAGTTCTTTATATATTCTGGATACTAGTTTCTTATCCATATAATACTTGCAAATATTTGCTTCCATTATATAGGTTGTCTCTTAACTCTTCTGATGGTCCTTTGAAGTATAAAAGTTTTTTTTTGTTTTTTGTTTTTTTTTTGAGACAGAGTTTCGGTCTCGTTACCCAGGCTGGAGTGCAATGGCGCGATCTCGGCTCACCACAACCTCTGCCTCCTGGGTTCAGGCAATTCTCCTGCCTCAGCCTCCTGAGTAGCTGGGACTACAGGCACGCGCCACCATGCCCAGCTAATTTTTTTTGTAGTTTTAGTAGAGACAGGGTTTCACCATGTTGACCAGGATGGTCTCGATCTCTTGACCTCGTGATCCACCCGCCTCGGCCTCCCAAAGTGCTGGGATTACAGGCTTGAGCCACCGCGCCCAGCCGAAGTATAAAAGTTTTTAAATTTTGATGAAGTCCAGTTTATTTTATCTTTGATTGATTGTGTTTTTAATATGATATCTAAGAAACCACTGCCTAACCAAAGGTTGTGGTTTTAGCTCTTACTTTTCAGTTTCTTATCCTTTTTGAGTTAATGTTTGTATATTTGTGAGGTACAGCTCCAACTTCGTTCTTTTTTTTGAGACAGAGTCATCTTGCTCTGTTGCCCAGGCTGAAATGCGATCTCGGCTCACCACAACCTCCGCCTCCCAGGGTTCAAGTGATACTCCTGCCTCAGCCTCCTGAGTAGCTGGGACTACAGGTGCGCGCCACCATGCCCAGCTAATTTTTGTATTTTTAGTATAGACAGGGTTTTATTATCTTGGCCAGGCTGGTCTTGAACTCCTGACCTCATAATCTGCCCACCTCAGCCTGTCAAAGTGCTGGGATTACAGGTGTGAACCACCACACCCGGCCTATCTCAGCACTCTTTTTCAAAGAGACTATTCTTTCCTTACTGAATTTTTTGGCATTTTTTGCCAAGAATCAATTGGCCATATATTTAAAGATTTCATTCTAGAGTTTCAACTCTATGCCACTGATCTATATATCTATCCTTATGCTAGTACTACATAGACTTGATTACTATAGCTCTGTAGTCAGTTTTGAAGTTAGAAAATGTGGATCCCCAAACTTTGTTCTTTTTCAAGATTGTTGAGGTATTCTAGGCCCCTTGCATTTCCATACGAATTTCAGCTTTCCCATTTCCGCAAAAGCAGCAGCTGGGATTTTGATAGGGATTGCACTGAATCTGGAGATTGGTTTGTAGAGTACTGCCATCTTAAAATATTAATTCATGAACATGGGATTTCTTTTTACTTCTTTCATTTCTTTCTTTGATATTTTGTAATTTTCAGTGTATAGGTTTTGCTATGCACTTTGATTAAATCATAAGGATTTTATCTTTTTAATGCTATTGTAAATGGCATTTTCTTAATTTCATTTTCAGATTGTTCATTGCTACTGGATAGAAATACAACTGATGGCCAGGCACGGTGGCTCACACCTGTAATCCCAGCACTTTGGGAGGCTGAGCAGGTGGATCACTTGAGGTCAGGAGCTCGAGACCAGCCTGACCATGGTGAAACCCCATCTCTACTAAAAATACAAAATTAGCCCAGCATGGTGATGGGTGCCTGTAATCCCAGCTACTCAAGAGACTGAGGCAAGAGAATTGCTTGAACCCGGGAGGCGGAGATTGCAGTGAGCAAAGATCACGCCATTGCACTCCAGCCTGGGCAACGAGCAAAACTCTATCTCAAAACAAAAAAAAAATACAACTAATGTTTGTGTATTAATCTTATATCATGAAATTTTGCTGAGCTTATTAGCTCTAATGCTTTTTTCTTTTTGCAGATCGTATAGGATTTTCTGCATATAGGATTATATCTCCTATTATTAGAGACAGTTTTACTTCCTTTTTTCTAATTTGGATTTTTTTTCTTTCCTAATTTCTCTGACTAGAACTTTCAGTAGGATGTTGAATAGTAGTGGTAAAAGTAGGCATCCTTTTCTTATTCCTGATCTTAGGGGACCAGCTTTCAGTAAAGACTGAATATACACCATTGAGTATGTTCGCTGTGGGTTTTCTATATACCCTTCATCATGTTAAAGTGTGTTTATTATGAAAAGATACTAGATTTTATCAAATGAGTTTTCTGTGTTTATTGAGATGATCATGTGGGTTTTGGCCTCTATTCTATTAGTATGGTGTATCACATTGATGGATTTTTGTGTGTTAAATCAACCTTGCATTCCTGGAACAAATCCCGCTTGATCATGGTGTTGAAAATCAGTTGATTTTCAATCATGTGTATAATCCTTTTTATGTGTTGCTGGATTTGGTTTGTGAGTTGCTGAGGATTTTTATATCTGCATTTATAAGGAATATTGGTCTACAGTTTTCTTTTAATGTCTTTGTCTGGTTTGGTATCAGGGTAATACTGGCCTCATAGAATTAGTTGGGATGTAGTTCTTATTCAGTTTTTTTGGAAAAGCTTGCAAAGGATTGGTGTTAATTCTTTTTTGAACATTTGATAGAATTTACCAGTGAAAAGGGGGTTTAGGGCTTTTCTTTGTAGGAAATTTTTTGATTACTAAATTCAGTCTTTTTGCTTGTTACAGACCTGTTCATATTGTCTGTTTCTTCTTGGGTTTGTTTCAGTAATTTGTTTCTAGGAATTTGTCTACTTCATCAAGGTTATCTTATTTATTGGTATACAGTTATTCCTAGTATTCCCTTATATAGTAATCCTTTTCATTCCTAGAAGGTTAGTAGTAGTACCCCTTCTTATATTCCTGATTTTGGTAATTTGAGTCTTCTCTTTTATTCCACCACCCCCACCCCCAGTCACTTTGGTTCAAAGTTTACTAATTTTGTTGGTTTGTAGTCAGCATTTTTTATCTTAGTATTACATGGTTCTTCTCACTGCCCTTATGACTTGTTTATTGACTGCAGTATAGTAATCCTGTAGCCTCTTGGCATAAGAAAGCATAGGACCTGAGGCATTTGCCCATTCTCAAATTTCAGGCTGCCACTCTATCTAATTTTATCATCTGTAAAATTGGGGATTAAATGAGATCTACCATGCACAATCAAACTTCAAGTGGTGGGCAGGTGCCTGGGTTCCGTCAGTAGCTGAATGAGTCTCTGCTGGAAACCCATCCTCATAAAAGATGAGCTCAAAATTGGAGCCCAGTAAATTTCTGCACACTTCTCAGGAGCACCTCAGGACGAAGCACACGATGTGTTCTCAGATGCTTCCTGTAAACACAGGAACAGCAGCTCATGGGACAACTGCATTTTTTTTCTCTTCTGTAAGGCCATAAAAGTTTAATTTAGCTAATTGTGAGAACCAAAGAAGGATACTTTACTTCCAAAATTATGGGTTATTTTCTTTCCTTATTTCAAAAGCAGCATGTGAGCATTTCGTGGGGAATAAAATAAAAACTAAGCCCAAAAACCAAACACCCACAATTGTATCAGTCCAGAGATGAGCACCACTGACGCTGGTCTTGGGGAATGTAAGGAGAAGTCACTTTCAGAATACTCTTCTCTAGATTCTTCTACCCAGACCTCTGGAAAACGTAGATATTCCTCTTGTATTTGGGGACACTTTACCCAGAAACAAAGGGCATTCATCCTGGAGTGCTGGTTTCCCACCCTGCTGAACATTGGAACCTCACAGAGCTTTTTAAAATTACACATTCCCAGAGAGCACCTCAGATCCATTGAATCAATCTCTGGAGGCAGGGCCCAGGCAGCTGAGACTGGAAGCAACCTCGTGGGGAGGCGAATGACTCTAGAGTGACTTGCAGATGAAGATACCTAGTCCCAAGTTGGCTGAGGGACCCAGATCAGATCTCCAGCTGGGGACTTGACCTCTGAACTCCCAGAGGACAATTCTTACTTTCCCTGCTAAGCCAGGACTGTATGGTCCCATGTAGTTTGCCTGGTCTTGCTCTGAGAGTCCTCGAGCTGCGTGATTCTGAGCAAGGATTGTATGGTGTTGGCCTAGTGTCCCCAGGGAAGTGGACCAAGCTCATAGTATGTCAGCACTGATGTTTGGAGGGATTCCAAGAGCCCCAGTAACTGCACAGCCAGATCCGTCTTTTAAACATGTCATTCCAAACCTGCACATTTTATATTTTAAAACACTCATAGAAGAAACCATTTCAGTAGAAGTTTCCTGTCATTTTTATATCATAGGCACCAAAGGTAACAAACTCTAGTTATCTATGTTGTTTCATCTCTGTCTTTGTTTTTCATTTCCAAAAGTACACTAGTGCTTTGATGTTTTTCTCAGAAAATCACACTTTTCCTCTTCTCCTTTTTCCTTTAGAGATATGAATCAGGTTCTTGATGCCTATGAAAATAAGAAGCCATTTTATCTGTACACGGGCAGGGGCCCCTCTTCTGAAGCAATGCATGTGGGTCACCTCATTCCATTTATTTTCACAAAGTAAGTATTGGATCTTATGAATTTTCTTACTCTCTTAGTGAATTGAGAATGTTACTTATAAACCATGTTTAGAACTGACAAGATCATGCTAGTTCATTTGCTGAGCAGCCAAGATGTCAAGAGTTGGCACTTTTTTGGCTTCCATTCACTTTGTTCCTGGGCTCACTTCAGAGGAACATGGAGTGATGGGGAGAGTGCAGCTTTGGAGTCAGCCAGACGTGCTCCTCTTCTCATCCTGCTCCGTGTCCACATGGCCATGGGCCAGCTACTTCTCTGAGTCTGAGTTTCCACATCTTCAAGATGAGACTGATACCTGCCTCATAAAGCTATTGTAAGGTTTCAAAACAAAGTGTATAGAGCAGCCAACACAGGGCATACTGGGCCATCTTGGTCAATAAATGGTAGTAGCCCTTATCATTATCCAAAGTCAAATTCATATCATGATTCAAATTGTGGTTTTGTAGGCAAGAAAGTTTTAACCTACATTAAGTAGGAATCATGTTTTCAGATGCATAGTGGCATTCCTCCACAGGGGAGACGAGACATCAGCTTTCTTCCCCCATGTTTCTTTAGGTGGCTCCAGGATGTGTTTAACGTGCCCTTGGTCATCCAGATGACGGATGACGAGAAGTATCTGTGGAAGGACCTGACTCTGGACCAGGCCTACGGCTATGCTGTGGAGAATGCCAAGGACATCATTGCCTGTGGCTTTGACATCAACAAGACTTTCATTTTCTCTGACCTGGACTACATGGGGTAAGGAGAAAATGCCTGGCTGCCTTTTTCAATAGGTAGAGGCAGATGTCAAGTTGCTATGACCACAGCTAAATCCGAAATACCTGAAATGGTCTTAAGGCCTGATAAATGTTCTTCTTCCTTCATTAAATGCTATGAGCTGGTTTATTGGTTTTATTTTATTTATTTTTTTTTTTTTTTGAGATGGAGTTTCGCTCTTGTTACCCAGGCTGGAGTGCAATGGCGCGATCTCAGCTCACCGCAACCTCCGCCTCCTGGGTTCAGGCAATTCTCCTGCCTCAGCCTCCTGAGTAGCTGGGATTACAGGCACGTGCCACCATGCCCAGCTAATTTTTTGTATTTTTAATAGAGACGGGGTTTCACCATGTTGACCAGGATGGTCTCGATCTCTTGACCTCGTGATCCACCCGCCTTGGCCTCCCAAAGTGCTGGGATTACAGGCTTGAGCCACCGCGCCCGGCCTATTGGTTTTATTTACCAATAATTTTAGAAGTGAAAATCTGTGTATATAAATAGAAAGGATTAAGTGATATCAATATCTTAAGGACTCGATTATTGCCTCCATAATTAAATTTACAGAAATTTAAAATACGGACTCAGCCACAGCACAATGGCATCTCAGATTTTCATCCCCAGCTGTGCCAGGAAGTCCTGCATTGCAGTGTCTCACCAAGGATAGTCAGTCTTCCAAAGTATGTCTTCATCCTTTTCAATGTACCTTTTCCTCACAGAGCGAAGACTCAGTGGCTACATAGTTCCTCAGTCTAGTTCTTTTAATCAGCCATTTAATAGACCAAAATATTTTGTTCTGAAAATCCTTCAAGTTTTACTCCACATGATTACAAGAAAGTGTTAGAAAAATAAGACTTTGGTCAACCATCACAGGAAGAATGCTATTTAGCTCAACAAATATTTCTTGAGCTCCTAAGTTGTGGTA